GAAAAGAGGTTTCACGTCTCCGACCAAGGTATAACCCTGACACAGAGTCCCTTGAAAGATCAGGTCTAAGGTTGGATGGAAAACTACTGACCGGTAAAATGGGAAAAGGAAATCCCATGCGTTCCCTAGGTGATCCTGAAAATCAATGTTTGATACCAGCGCAGAGCGTGTCCACATTAGCTGGCCAGTACGGAGCGACCACAGATGAATTGTGTCATTCGAACACTCGCATACCAGGTAGTCCTGATTTGGTGAGACATCAAAGCAGATCACCTCATCTGAAGCAAAAAACCGCAGTAGAACATCTGTTCTTTCCTCCTTCTTTCGCAAATATTCCATAAATGGTAAGTCCGTATACTTGGTGTTTAGCAAACTTAATGCCTTCGCAGACAGTTCAGGTCCTCCTTCATTCAACAAGACTTGAAAGATGGCGTGAGGAAGTTTTGAAAGAGTACTTAAATGCTTCCGCAATAGCAACAATAACGTCTCAAGGACTTCCCTGCAATTCTTTGACAAACCATTTGTATTTTCCTTCTCTTGTACGCAAAGAACATCTTCAGTGGCTGCTGTACTCTTCACAGTTAGCTTTGCATAGACCAATTCTAGGTCCAAAACATAATTCTTTACATTGTCGTCCAGGCTACATGGACAAGCATTCTCTTCTACCTCAAGTACATGCTGAACACCATGCTGCAAGGCATACCTCGACGTCTGTTTCAGTGTTGAACTCTGGATCCCTTTAAGTTTCAATTCATCTAGTTCATCTCTGCAAAGCTTTGCAATGACGCGATGACATTCTTTTCCGCTAACAATAAACTTCTTTTGCCTCGAAGTAGACTCCTCAACCAACCAGTCCTTGACTGACTTGTGAAAGAAGTTAATGCACTCGCCCTCAATGGGTAGAAGAGCCGAGATACAATCAACTGCTTCTCGTACTTTTTGCTCATCAGCCGATGACCATTCTTTTGAAAGGAACAACTTGTAGACAAACTCGACAGGTAATGGTTCTCTTGCTGCCACGATGGCATTTAAAAAATCGAAGAACTGCTCTTCGGTGATACCTAGTTCTTTCTGCATTTCATTTTTCAGGCGTTTGAAGTAGTCTTGATAAACGGACGAAATACCTGATGGCAAGTCGCTGTTGATCACTTCAGCAGCACTCATACGCACAGCATTCTTCTTAATGAACTCTGCCAAGTAATAGGTATATAACATGACCCCTTCTGACTTTTCAACAAGCTTTTCTAAGATGGTATCTTGGCAATCAGATTGCAGAACATGTTCCAGTTGCTCTTGAAAGCAAAGCCTAACGTCCATCAAGTTTTCTTGATCGTTTGGGTTCAGCTGTATTGGATTTAGGTCTTGAATCTTCTCTAAGATATTCATTTCAGGTCGCGTTGTTACCACAAATCGTATCCAACACGGAAGCGTCTTG